AGAGGTGGGGTGGGGCGGGGGGCACAGGGTGCAGCGGGGAGCAGCCAGGGGCCGGAGCCTGGCCCGGAGTGCAGGCCGCTGAGCCAAGAGCCCCCTACACCCCAAAAACCTTGTAGTTCCCCGTGCGACCCCTGTACCCCCGTCCCCTCTCCCCGTTGGGGGGCTCCTTTTCCGGCTCCCTGATCACCCCATTCTGTCCTCTCACCTGAGCCCTGGGGGACGGCCAAACCAGGAGGGAAGGGGTACCCCTCAGGTGAGGCCTCCCGCCCCCCCAGATTCCTTACAGCAGCCTTTCTGCTCCCCCACCGGCCACCAAGCCAGGGAGCAGGGACCCGGCTGGCGCTTGCTCCGCACAGAGCACACAGAAGCCCTAGCCAAGGGCGGGCAAGGCCTCCCGGGCACCCCAACGGCTTCGTGTCTGCTTCAGGGTCCCCCTCAGCCCCGAGCCAGGAGGGACCCCAGCCCACAGGCACCCCCGGCCGCCTCGCGCCTCGCAGATCTGCGCCCCTGGACCTCCAACTCGGGGAGCTGGGCCTGCAGGCGGGTCTGGGCCTCCGGAGGCCCCGAGGCCCAGCTGCCTGCAACCGACCGGTCAGTCTGCCCGCACCCCAGCCCCCCTCCTCCCCCGGGGATGCACCCCACGCCCTGGGGGCCGCCAGACAGTCGTGGCCTGGACTCCCCGCCCGTCCCCGGCTCCGGAGTCGCCCTAAGAAAATAAACACAAGTGACACGGTGCCCGGCCGAAGCTCATTAGTTCGCTGTCCGGCCCTAATCAACCAACAGAAGCGCAAATTAGAGAAAGCACGGCCTGCACACAGGCTCTGTCACCCGGCATCACGGCCCGCGGCCTGATTCCAGGGGCTCCCCGCTCCCGGGGCAGCCCGCCCCACCCCCGTCCCCCTCCCACCCCCAAGCAGGAGGCTGGGTGGGAAAATATAGCTCCAAAGGGGGCCGTCAGCAAGCCTTTCCTCTCGGAAGCAGCCTGCACCACCTCATTTCCCACCCGTAATCCCAATAAAATTAACGTGGTGGCTGGGATGGCCAAGAGGAGGGGCGGGACACCCCTGGAATAACACCGTCTCCCCCTCCCCCACCCCGCCAGCCCCCGCACAACAGCCAAAGGTGAAAACTCCAAACCCTTTGTGTGCGTCTAATTAGCGAAGGCCCGGCTCCGGACGCAGATGTGTGTTCTTAGCTAATCACAGGCGTGGTTCTTGCAAAGGGAGTCGTTTTTCGGGGGGCTGCTGGGGGGCGGGAGGGATGTCAGCGCACCCCCACCCCCCCACCCAGGCCTGTCTGCCTCAGGGGGGTGACACCCGCCATTACGACTCAGAGCTGGACTCAGGCAGCCCAGCTCTCCCATACCCTTGACCTCACCCCCACCCCCTGCCAGACCCATTACCAACACCTCGGTTCTGGGTTCTGGCCCCAATGCCAGGCCTGCAAGACTCGATGGGGGGGAAATCAAAGTTTTAACGACACAGATGCCATAGAAATGAGGCGGCTGGACACTTCCCTCTGAGTAGCACGCTAACTTATGGCCATCGTGTCATCCCCAGGACCAGGACGGTGCAGGTCAGAACTCGGAGAGTCAGCTTTTCGCCTTCCTGACAGTGCCAGTGCGTGTTCAGTGAGGGTGTGGGTTCTCTAAGCGCCACGAGGGCCCCTTCCCTGTTTGGGGGCGCCCACTGGTACGTGTTTTGGGGGGCGGGCAGGCCCCCAAGCCAGCTTTGTGTGTGTGCTTTGCCTTTTGGTTCTGAAACCGGTGATTCAGTACCTGGCTCAGCTTTGCAGGTGAGCTTGAGAGAGAGAGAGAGAAAAGGGGGATGGAGTTGGAGGTGAGAGGCGGCAGTCCTCAGCCCTGGGGTTCACGCAGTGTCCCCCAGTTTTGCGCTCTGCCCTCCCGGAGCCCTCGGCTCTCCCCTAACACCAACACGGCCAGCAAACTTTCCCCCAAACCCCAAACCGGGGTCCTGTTACCAGCCAACGCCCAGCGCTAACTGCTTTAAAATTGCTGCATAATTAGATTTAGCTGAATTTCACCATTAATTAGGCAGCCGCGCGGCGGGGCGCCTTTGAAATCGGAGAAAATGGGGGGGGTGGGGAGGAGAAAAATCATCTGAAACTCAACTTCAATGCATCTCCGTCCCCTCCCAGGGCTGGCCCAGGGTCGGGGGCCGAGTCCGAGGCTGGCATTGCAGCGACGGGGCGAGCTTGCCGGCCCGTGAGTTGCAAACTCCGGCCCACGGGGCCTCTCCCCAGACCCTCCAGGCCCGGCCTGGCGGGTCCACGTAATTCTAGGGCCTGCGAGCACCCGGCCCCTCGGCCCCCCGCGTCCAGCCGGCGCCCCCAAAGCCAGCTTACCTAGGAAAAGCTCGGACCTGCCCGCAGCCAGCTCTGCCCGCGTCCGGCGGCCTCGGCCCCCGCCCCCCAGCGCGGCCCGCACGGAGCCCGCGCGCTGATGAGCCAAACCACCCGCCGGTGTGCGCGGCCGCCTCCCGCTGCCCATCAAATCCTCCGGATCCGCGCACGACCCAGGCTCCGGCTTCCCCTGCGCGGATGGCCCAGGGGCGGGGAGACCCGGGAGCACCTCTCCGATGGCCGGGAGCGGGGAGGAGGCGGGGGGCGCGCAGCGAAGGGGGCCCCGCGTTGGCGCCACGACCACCCGCACCCCCTCCCCACGCATCCCGCCGCCGCCTGGGTGACAGGTCCCCGCGCCCCGTCGCAGAGGCTTTGCTGGCTGCAGGCGGAGCGGCTCCGGCCGCCCCCTCCCCTCTTTTTTTTCTTTTTTCTTTTTTGGGGGAATCAATGTGTTTCCTATTACCCGGCCCGGCCGGGGCGCGCGGAGGGAGCCACGGGAGACGCCATGTTGGCTCAGCTCGCAGGATGGAGCCAAAAAAAAAAAAAAAAAAAAAAAAAAGCAAAAAGCAAAAAGCAAGCAGCTCGGAGGCAGTTTCACACGCTCGGGGCTCCCCGATCGCCCCCCGCACCCCGCCCCCCACCTCCGGCTGCCACCCCCGCCCGGTGCGCGCACCGCCCGGCCGGCCCCGCGCCCCGGACCTCCCTCCGCCGCCGCGCAAGTGGGGGGCGGGGTGCAGGGGCCGGCACTGCCCCCGGAGGCGGCTGCTGCCAGCTCCAGGCCCCCCCAGATCCCCGATCCCCGCCGGAGGCTCCCCCAACCGGCCCCGGACGCCGCCCCGCGGGCTCGGAGCGCGGCCCCGGGCACCGCGGGGCCAGGCCGAGGCCGGGCGAGCGCGCGCCCGGCGATCGGGCCGGGACACCCCCCCACCCCCACCCCAGGGTCCCCCCCAGGTGGGTCTCCAAGTGGCCAGAAGCCGCGATCGCCCCCTAAGCCGCCCCCCAGCCCCCCACTCCTCTCTCTCTCTCTCTCTCTCTCTCTCTCTCTCTCTCTCGCCTCGGACCATTGTTGCGTTTCGCGTCGCCAGGGGAGGAGGGGGAGCGGAGCTGCTGGAGAAATAAAGCGAGCTCAGATCGGGTGCAAAAAAAAAAAAAGAGAAGAGACACTTAAAGGGAAAGAGTCGCCATGTTTAGCAGCTTTTTTTTTAAAGATCTCATCGAGTTCACACACACACACACACACACACACACACACACACACACGCACACGCTCAGCGCGGCCCGCCCGGTCCCAGCCCCGCGCCTTTTGTCCCCGTTCAGCGGCGGCGGCGGTACCTTTTGTTCTAACTCAGCGGGAGAAGAGAAACTTTCTTTAGAGCGATCGACTTCCACCCAGCTCAAGAACCTAAACAGATCCTCCTCCGGGCCACTCTCCACAGCCTACAAGAGGTTTTGTTCTAAGCGTTTTCGTGGGGAAAAGTAAAATAATAATAATAATAATAATAATAATGATAATAATAATAATAATAAATAAAATGCAGGGTCCTCCCCCGGGTGGCAGAGCCCAGGTTTGCTTGCAACTTAGGGGAGAGGGAGCGATGAGACGATCCCAGTGCACAGGCGGGAAGCCGGATGACACCGGCCTTTTGCTTTGGAAATCATACGTTAGAATTAAATGTCAATAATCGTGTGCAACGAGCGAATCCCAAACAGGCCTGTGAACTTCACACACTGGCTGAGAGAGAGAGAGAGAGGAGAAAGCAGACACTGAGGGGTCAGGGCTGTTCCGCGTGAGAACAGGCTTTCTGCCCATGTATGTGCACATACGTGATGGGGATGGGGAGCTGCCCGGATGCACACACATCACACAGGAGCGGCCGTGGCCTGGGACCTGAGTGTCTCTCCCAAGTGGAACCGAGTTCCCAGAATGACCCCCTGTCTCGCTCCTGCCCTCCACACCCCGTTTTTTTTTTTAAGGGAAACCGCAATGCAGGGGAATGGGGGTCAGGGTGGGGTGCTGGGGAGCCTCCAGGAGAGCAAGATTGCCAGCTCCTAGGAGCAGAGGGAAAAGGGGGTGGGGTGGGGAGGAGTGAAGAGACCCACTACCAGCTTCAGCACACCCTGTCAAGTTTCCTTCCTCCTCTCTCTCTCTCTCTCTCTCTCTCTCTCTCTCTCTCTCTCTCTCTCTCCTTTAATTTGGCTCATCAGGATCAAGGGTCCCAAGACCCATGGAAGTCCCTGTGATTTCACGTTCAGAACGCAGGTGGCTAGAAGCAGACCCTCAGCCCTGCACGCCACCCCCCTGCACTGGCAATCCTCTCAGCCATCACGCTAGATAAGAACCACGGAATGAATATATATATATATATATATATATATATATATATATATATATATATATATATAAAATCACACCTACTTCAGGAAAAGCGCCATGCACACAGACTCCCGCCTGACTGTCAGGAATGTACAACACACTCTCTTTTTTTTTAATCCCTGATCATAAAAGAGCGATCTCCGAATCTCCAGTACTTTGCACCACACCTTCCCTTCTCCTAAGCAGGCACTTAAGCGGGATACACAGAATAGACACAGCTCTTGTCGGTGGCAAGTCAGTGAGCGGGGACAGCCGACCAAGATTCCAGATATCAAATAATATTTTAATTTCTGAATACTTTCAAATTTTTCCTTGGAATATAACACACAAAGACTCGACCAAACAGTTCAGTTATTATAACTTTTACAGTATACAGAAATGTTGCACTTTAAAAAAAAAAAAACCTTCAGTTTTTTTTTTAAAACACAAACTGTAAACTCTAAGATACTGAATCAATCACATTATCTATAAGTGCCAACAGTGTTATTTTGTCATGCTGATTTCAATGGGTAACTTTTTTTGTTTTGTTTCTTTAAAAAGGGAATATCAACAGTTATAATACAAAGGGTTTGCAAATATACAAACAAATAGAGGGTATTCATAACAATCCAAGAACTAAGCTGGACCCCAATTCAAATTACAAAAAAGTTCACTTTTTTTTATTCAAAACCTCAGCGCGTGTGTGTGTCTCAGACACACTCCTGGGCTGCCAATAAATTCCACAGTTCATTCTCTTTCTTAAAATATTTTTTTAAAAAGCTAGGTTCGTCTTGGTGTCTCTTTTGGGGGGGGCAGGGAGGGGGAGTTAGATGTTGGATGTGGTTCCTGCAGATCTCAAATTAGCTCGAGTTCACTTAAAAATTTTTGGCCACCATCTCTAAGTGCGTTCCCACCATCTCTCGATTTCCTTTTAGAAAGTTTTATGTCTTCCTTCCTATGTTATTCTCATGGACTCAGTTTTAATTCTTGCAGAACATATAGTGTAAGGATACACAGGTTTTTTTTTTTTAAGAAGCCAAGATTATATCAAAACTTATCATAGAACCACAGAATAAGCTGGTTTAGAACCAGGAAAATACAAAACAAAAACAAAAAACAAAAAACAAAAAAACAGCTAGAGGTACAGACACAGGACAATGAATAAATTTGGAAAGAAAAAAAACCACACTTACTTTCTCCATTCTGCTAATTTTTCTCCCAATCTCCTCAAATGCACTTTTAGCAACAGTTTTCCAAAATTTACCAAAAAAAAAAAGAAAAAGGCTAATTTCCTTTTTATACAAAAAAAAAAAAGGTAAGTAGCGAGCTGTTCTGACACAGGAGTTTTTTTTTTTTTTAATGCATTCTGTAAAAGTTCACTTGACAGTCTCTTAATTTTTTTTGTTTTTTTGGAAATTCACAGTCCATTAAAGTTCTTCCCCTCTCTTCTTTATTTTTTAGCAAACGTGTAACATCCTTTTTTATATCCTTTCTCAACAGAAGGAATTAAGCAAACACACCAGTCTTGGCTTTCTCTGATTCACTCCCCCTTCTCATTTTGATTTGATTTGATTTTTTTTTTGTTTTCTCTTTCTTATTGGATCGCCATATAGGGCCAGTTAAAACTGCTGCCGGACAGTAACATATCCCGGATGAGCGTTTCGATGGGCGTTTTACCTACCAAACGGACGAAAAACAATTGCTCTATGACTGAGGACGAGACGGTGCGGAGGGAGGGGAGGCGCAGGAGGAGCTTGCCGAAGCGTGTGGGCTGGTTGGGGTACTGGCTGCGGACATATTCCTCGAGAGCACACTGGGACTTCTCCTGCAGGCTCTCCACGTGGGCCACGTCCGACAGGCCGCAGGCATCTGGGAGGAAATTTAAAAAGAAGGAAAAAGAAAAAAAAAGAAAAAGAAAGAAGAAGGCAATAAAGAATTCAGCCATCAGATTCTAAGAGGTTTGCAATGAGGTCACATGAGCTGTGTATGCATGGCTCCGTCAAATCAAGGAATGCCCAGGACTAGAAACTTGGGGGGTAGGGGGGGCTGAGGGTGAGGGGGGCAGCCTGAGATGGTCTTGGGGTGTCTGCATAAGGAATAAATCCCAGCTCCCTCGCTCTGCAGGCTGCCCCCCGTCCCAGCCATAGCCCAGGCTCGGTCACTGAGAGGCCCAGGGTGAAATCTGGCTCAAGTCGGTAAACAGAAAGACAAACAGAAGAAATCAAAAGTGCCAAACGCCCCTCCCCTCGTCCTCTGTAAATAATAGTTAGGCTTATAATTATAGAGTGGGGGGCGGGGTGGGGAGGGGGGCTGCGGCCTGGGCCCGGCCGGGCTGGGACGAATGGCTTCCAGGACCCAGTCTCAGATTGTCCCCAAAGAGGGCGACTCATTTTTCTCCTCTCTTTGAAACTGATTTAAGTGGCCCCTTTAAAACTGATCTTGTCAGTTTAGCCCATTGAGGGGCAGCCATGCAGACTCTGATCGCTCTGTTCATTTGAGCTGTTTCTCTCTCCCCCTCTTTCTCCTCGCTCCCCCTTTCTCTCACCCCCTTTATTTATTTATTTATTTTATATGAAAAAAAAACCCCCACAAAACTCAGGCCCCATCCTGAGAGAAAGCCCCCCCACACCCTTCCCCGTTATCTCCAGGAAAACACTTTTCTTTTTCGGAAACGCAGGAAAATGCAATAAGTGCCTCTGAGATGAGAGGCTGCTCCATGGAAGCAGCGCAGGTTGTGACCTGACCTCAGGGGCCCCCCCAGACAAGACTGGGCCGACACACACACATTGTGCATCTTAAAGCGGGGCCTGCAGACCCGTCTCCTCCAGCCCTGAGAGTCTCGGGGACCCTGCCTGCCTGCGCCCCGCTCTGTGCCTGGGGACAGGAACGAGGGGATCCACTTGCCTGAGACTCCTCCCCGAGCATCCGCACCTGTGCTCCCCAGATAACGGGGACCACTCTGTCTCCTGGGGGGTGATTTGCATTCCCCACACAGGCCTGTGCGCTTTGCAAATAGCAATAAATTAAACTCTTAGGGCAGGATCAGGCATTCCTTCCCTCCGAAGACTAACAATGATAGCCAGAAATTTGCAGCCACCCCTGGTCCGGGGAGGGGGTTGGGTGTGGGGTGGGGGCCGGGCGGATGGAGGTTTGGGGAGGGGGTGAGGGGCCATCCTGATGGCAGGTCTGCACCAGGCAAGCGGTCCAGTTCTGACAGGTCCCCCAAGGGAACAGAATTCAGGTCCAAGACGCTGACATGGCCATTCCTGGCCATTCACTGCCCTTTAACTGATCACCTACGGACTTTGGAGGGCAGTTTGGGGCGGTTGGGAGGGGGTTTGGGGGCAAAAGCAGCCATACAGACAAGGCTCAGGACCTGTACCAGACGGGGTCCCAGTTCTCAATCCCAGAATGAGGTAGAACGGGACCTTTTTGTCCACCTCCCTAACCACCACGCTGTCTCCTGGAGCTGAGCACACAGGGGGAGACTGGGTTCCCAGCCCCAAACCCGCGCCCCAGGGGTGGGTGTGCTGAACTGGGCACCTCTTCCCCCCCACCTCGGCCTTGACAAAGGGGATCAGCTGACAACTCAGCATGAGAAGGTGGGGGGCGGGGGGGGGCAGGAGGCTCAGGTGTGGGCCAAAGCGGGGAGGCAGACACTTGCAAAAATCATTTGGCCTGGAGAGTTAATTAATATGAGATCTATTACTCACACAGGTTAAACTACATGCGAGCTAATTAGATTTCATCATGCAGCCGCTGATGGTTTTATACCGCCAGCAACATTCACAAGCAGCCCGAGCTGGCAGCCACTTGGAGTTGTTTGAGAATCGCCTCAAGTGTTTGCCTGGCCAGGAGGGGTGGGGTGGGGGGCAGAGGCCTGCTCCCCAGCCCAGGCAGACACTCTGAAGAGTGACTCCTCTCCCTCTGGCCCTGCCTGGCGGGCCCGCTCCCCTCCCCTGGCCGCCTGCATTGTCTTAGAAAGAATCCCAGCCTCGAAATTGGTGCCCTCGAGTTGGGTCTGCCAGGAGCTCCCACTCTGAGTTAACAGGCAAACTTTCGCTCCAGGCCTGCCCCCGTGCCCTGGGGCACCTCCCGGAGGCCAAACTGGGGTGCCAGGGGGAACCCTGGGCACTGACAGGACCCCACAGGCTCAGCTGGCCCGGGGCCTGGGCTTGGGGAGGGTGGCAGAGCGCACAACCCAGCCTGGCATGGGGGCAGAAGGGCAGCAGGCCCCGGGGGCCTCCCCTGGCCCAGTGCAGCGTGTGTGTCTGCAGCATCCTGCCTGCAGCCCGGCCTTCCTCTCCTCCTGCCTGCTCCGAGTTCTCAGCCCTCCACAGAACTGGCTTTTGGGGGGCTGGGCTCACTCTGGGGCCTCCCTGGAGGGAAGGCGAGGCTCCTCCAGAGGGTGCTCCCTACCTGAGGTGAACAAGACGATGGCCTTGAGGCAGCTGTACTCGGCGGAGTCCACGTGCAGGGCCTTGAGCTTCTCCACTTGCTCCTGGAAGATGCGTATGTGGTCCATAAAGGCGACCACCCGGTCGGCGGACATGGGCGAGGCGTGCAGGCCGGCGGCGGCCAGCAGCGGGGCGACGTGCAGCGGCATGGAGCACTGCGCCGCGTTCAGCACGAACAGCTCGCTCCAGGTGAGGCGCAGCAGGGCCACCTGGTCGGTGATCTGCAGGTCAGGGAAGAAGGGGATGTTCCGCGCCCACTCCACGGCGCTGAAGAGCATCCGCGCGGCCAGTTCGCAAATGTTCTCGATGCCCATGATGTTGTTGGGCTGCATGCACTGGCTGCCGAAGCGCGACGTGGGGTAGGGCTCGGCGCGCAGCAGCAGCGAGATATATCCGGACAGGTACGAATGGCAGTTGAGGGGGTCCCCGTTGGTCAGCGCGAACTGCCCGTGGGTCGGCTGGGTGGGCGGCATCCGGCCCCTCTGCACCGCTGTGGGGGGGAGAGAAGATACAGGGGTGAGCCTCCGGCCTCGGTCCCCGGCGCCCCTATTTGGGCCTGCCCCGGCCCATGCCCTGGACCCCGAAGCGGGGTGCAGCCAGGCCCCGCAGGCCTGCCCCTCCCCGGACCCGCGGATCCCCTCCGCCATCCGCGCCCAGGCCGCTTGCCCGCGGGGCCGCTAGGCGCTGGGCCGCGCAGCCCCCCGAAGTGGCCGCTTGGCCGCGGGGTCCCGGCGCGGGGGGCGGGATGGACATGCCGGGGGCATCTTTCTCCTTTATGGCCAAACAGCTGATATTTCTTATTGATTGGAGGAGAGGCGGCGGGAGGGGCGAGGCGGGGAGGGAAAGGGACGCTTTTGCAAAAAGACGCAAGCTTCGCCCCGGACGGCCCGTGGCCGCCCCGGGAGGACTCTCCCCCGAACCCCAAAGCCCCGGTTCCAGCTCCGGCCCCGGCCCCGGCCAGGAGGGGGCCTCCCGGGGAGAGCCGAGCCGGGAGCCGAGCTCCGCGGGCAGCCCGATCGGCGTGCCGGGAGCAGCGGGGAGCGGCGGCCGGCGGCGGCGAGGGGAAGCCGGGGAGAGGCGGGCAGCCAGCGGCCGGCGCGGCCCGCGGAGGCCCCGGGAGGCCGGGGAGAGCCGGCCGGGCTCGGGCCGGGGCCGCGATCGGACGCCGGACGGGGGTTGGGGGGGCGGGGATCGCGCTCCGGAAACACAAAGAACAGCCCGGCCACCGCTCGCCCGGCCCGGAGCCCGCGCCATTGGCCGCGAACGTTCGATCACAAAGACCCGCCTGGCGCCGAGCGGCCGCCGGGGCCCGCGCCCACCCGGCCCGGCCTCCCGGGCGCGCTCCCCTCCTTTCCAAAAGCGAAAGGAGAAAAAAAAAAAAAGGAAAACGGAGGGATTTTTTTTTTTTTTAAAGCAGAATGGTAATCCACGGAGGGTCGGTCACATGAGCGCAGCCGGGGCGGCGGCGCGAACGCGGCGGAGTGCAGAAAATTGCCATTTGTAATCTGAACCTCCGGTGCAAAAGTACGACCTCAGGTCGGGGTGCTTTTGGGGGGAGGGTGCGGGCTGGGGAGGAGGGACGTGTGGGGAACATGCAGGAGAGACCGGGAGGGCGTCAGAGGAGCCGGAGGGAGAAGGAAAGGCGGCTTGCAAACAACAACAGGCAGCCGCCTGCAGGAAGGCGACTGGAAGGCGCTCGAAACGGGGCCGGAGGAGAGATCGAGGAGGAGCCGGCCGGCCAGAGCATGCGGATCTGGGGGGCCCGGGGGTCAGGGTTCCTGTGCACGACTTGCTCGGAGCAGAGCCGCGATGGCCGAGCAGAGCCTGGGGCTCCGGCGGGCGGGCGTCCTTACCCAGCCAGCCAGCCGCACGCACGCACCCCCAGGCCCCCAACCCCGGGCGATCGGGGGGCGATCGGGGGCGGCGGGGAGGGGGAGAGGAATGAGAGGCCGGTACCTTCCCGTCTCATGCCCACTTTGAGGCACTTTTTGAGGCGGCAGTACTGGCACTGGTTGCGGTGGTGCTGGTCGATGGGACAGTTCCGGTTGGCGCGGCACGTGTAGCTCAGGTTCCTCCGCACGCTGCGCTTGAAGAAACTCTTGCAGCCCTCGCACGTGAACTGGCCGTAGTGCTTGCCGCTCGACTTGTCCCCGCACACCACGCACTCGATGTGCTGCTGCTGCTGCTGCTGCTGCTTGTCGCCGCCGCCGCCGGGGCCCCCCTGGCCGCCGCCCGCCGTCTGCGCCGGGGTGCTGGCCGGGCCCCCCTGGCCGGGCGTCTGCGGCGTGTGCGGGGCGCCGGGCGGCGGGCCGCCGGGCACCGGGGGCGCCTGCGAGGCCTGGCTGCCCTGCGAGCCGGGCACCTCGTCCTGGGGGTCGCGCCACGTGCTGACTACCATTGCCATATCTGGGGGGGCCGCGTCCGCGCTTCCTGCGCCCCTGGCTGCGGGCGGGGGGCGGCTCCCGGGGGCGCGGGGTGCTCCGCCTTTTGTGCTGGGGGAGTAGGAGGAGGAGGAGGAGGAGGGGGATCGGCCAGTGGAGGTCTGTTAGTTGCCTTTTTTTTTTCCTCCTTTTTTTTTTTGTTTGTTTGTTTGTTTTGTTTCTGCTTTTGCAAAGTTTTGGCGCTGGCTCCTCGTCCGGCCCCGGCGGTGTGTTTGTTTTGTTCGCGTCCCTCGCTGGCTCGGCGGGCGGCTCGGCCGGTCGGTCGGTCGGTCGGTCGGTTTGCGGGGGGCTCTCCTCCAGGAGGGGCGGGCAAGGGCCGGGGAGAGCGAGCGGGAGCGGAGCGCGGAGAGAGGGAGGGGAGGGAGAGCTGCTGCTTGCAAGTCGATTGTCTGGCTTCACGAAGTAGGAGGCAGAAAAAGGAAAAAAAAATCTCCCCAAAGATCTCGCTCGCTCGCTCGCTCTCGCTCTCTCCTCCCTCTCTCGCTCGGAGCCGGTGCGCCTAGGAGTTGGAGGCGGAGGTCGCGGAGGAGGAAGAGGAGGAGGAGGAGGAGAGGGGCCAAGTCCAGGGCAGCCCACAGTCAGCCATTCAGGAAAGCCATGGGGAGCGGGAGGAGCGCGGGAGCCGAGGCGCCGGCGGCGGGCGCGCCCGGGGAGCCGGGCAGGCCGGGGCGGAGGCCGGCGGCCCGCGGAGTGGCCGGAGCGCTGCCCGGGTCCGCGGGAATCAGCATCAAAGTGGTCCGCGTCCGGCGCTGCGCGGCGTCGTCCCGGCGCTGGGCCGCCCGGCTGCTCCGGATGGAGGCCGATCGCCGATCGCCGATCGCCGGTCCCCGCGGGCCGCCCGGGCCGCCGCCGGAGTCGCCGCGGGGTCGGGCCCGGAGCCGCCGCGTCTAGCGCCGCCGCCGCCGCTGCTGCTGGAGCCGCTGCTGCTGGAGCCGCTGCTGCCGCCGCCGGAGCCGCCGCTGCTGGAGCCGCTGCTGCCGCCGCCGCCTCACACACATAGGGAAAGAGTCAACTCGCCGGGCGGCGGGGGAGAGAGGATAAAAGAGAGAGAGGAGGGCCGATCACCACCTAGAAGCACATCCTGCGCGGCGCGCGGCGCGGGGCGGGAGAGAGACGGAGAGGGCGGAATGAAAGAGGGGAGAGAGAAGCCAGCAGCGGCGGCGCGGCGGCGGCGCCCGGAGGAGAAGGAGGCAACTCGGGGGAGAGAAGGAGGAGGAGGAGGCAGGCGGAGGAGAGGGAAACACACACGCGCGCACGCACACACGCGCGCCGCGGAGAGAGAGAGAGAGAGAGAGAAAAAGAACAGAGAATCAAAGTGATCAAATATGCTAAAAAGGGGGGCGCGGGAGGGAATGCGATTTATAGGCGCCGGGGCTGGCAGAAGTGGCTGCGCCGCGATCAGCTCACTGAGCCCTCTATATAGTGAACTTTGACACGACTGCTGCAACTTAGCGCACGTTGCCATGGCGACGGCGCGCCTTATAAGGCAGCCGCCGGGGTTGGCCTGGGCCCGGCGCGCGCGCGCCGCCCCCTCGCCGTCATTGGCCCGAGCGCGGCGGCCCCGCCATGGCGGCCGCGGGCGCCGCGCGGTCCTAGCGCGAGCCGGGTCTGGGCCGCGGCTCGGGGCGCGCGGTGGCGGGGGGGGGGGGGGGGGGGGAGAAAGCGGGGTGGGGCGGGGGGGGGATCGGAGGATCGGGTGGAGGCGATCGCGTCCCCGCCGCCGCCGCCGCCGCCTGCCGTGGGGATGGGGGCACCCCGCATCCATCGCGCACCCCGCACCCGAGGTCTCCGCCCCGGCTCCGCGGCGAGGAGCGCGGCGCGCAGACAAAACGCCTCTTAAAGGCTCCGCGGGCGGCTGCGGAGGGGACCCGGGACTGCGCCGCTTGGCAACTTGGCGATGCCACGGAGCGCGCCGCGCGCGCACCACGCGGGACCCCCGGCGCATCCGTGTGCCCGCGATGCCCGGGAGAGAGAGCACGGCCCCCCGTGTCTCCGCAGAGGGGCAGGGGGTGGGGGTGGGAAGGCGCCCCGGACCCAGCTCGCGGGCGATTTCCAAAGGAAACATTTAGTCTTCTCTGAATGCACTCCGATCACTCGCTGGTTGGGTGGCTTCTTATTTTATTTTATTTTATTTTTTAAAGAGCTTTTTTTTTTTTTTTTTTTTTAAAGCTCTTTAGGGTCTGTCTTTTCTTTCCTTGTAGGGTTAACATTTCACAGGTATGCGGCCTGACATTTTAATTGCTCGAATAAAGCATCTCGGATGCTGAGAAGCAGACACAGACTTCATCTCGTTGTCATGACGCAATTAAAATAAATTTCCCCTCAACTTTATCCTGTCGCCTTGGTTTGGGCTAAAATCGCCAGCCAGCCTCCTGCCCGGCGCCCAGGCAGGGCGAGAGGGGGTAAGGCTGGTGTTTGCCCGCTGATGGGCGAGCTGAGGCCGCCTCCAGCCTCGCCCGTGTGTACCCTCCGCACACACATGGAAGTTACACGGATGAGACGCACATTTGTCAATGTTCACAGACAAAGACTTCAGCCACTGCACTTCCAGGTCCACAGTTGAGTGCGGACTTCATTGTTCCTTGAGTTTCCTTTTAAAAGCGTTCACATCGCCATTAAAACACATCTAGGGGGTCGGCCCCAAACTGGGGACCAGACCAGCACACTCACAGGAGCCACACACAGGGCCATCGTCTACCCCAGGAAATCCAATGAGGCCATCTCCATGGCCCCGGCCATTCTGTTCCACGCGCTGTGCCTCTGAATTACTGGGCGCTGGGTTATACACATCAAACATCTAGAAATTCCCCCCAATCCAGCTCCGAGATCTCACACTAATCCCACACACCTCTCTGTGTGATCAGGAGAAGTTAGCTCCATATTTATGAAAGAAAACTGTGACTCCGGCACACACACTTGGCACCAGGAAAAAACCCTGTATGTTGGTCAGCCAGCCAGGTCTCTGAACAATTAAGATGTTTCACATACAACACGCTGAGCTGCAGGAAACGTGGACACAGAAATAGTCAGGGGCAACCGAGAGAAAGTATCCTTGATCATTCAAAAAATAAATCAAATCAAATCTAAAGGATGGAGAATGGTTTAGAGAAATTCGCCACGCATGAAACTGACATGTGCAGGTTGCATGTTGCATGTTGCATTCCATGCTCTCTACACCCACAGGCAGAAGATAAGGTGGAGATGTAGGCAGACAAGGGCTAATTTTAAGGGGAGAGAGAGAGAAAAAAAATCATCTTTCCGCTTCATTTCTGAAACCTTCTGAGCTCTCGCCCTTCCTCCGCTGAAACCACATAGTTCAGGAAACAGTGAATGTTCTGGAAGGTGGGGGGGGGGGAGAATTCTCCATGTTTGATGCAGGTGCTGGGATTATTTGAAAGTTGTAAAAAAAAACCAAAAAACCAAAAACACACAAGAAAAACACAAACCGAGGGTGGACAGGGACCTGCCTTAAGCCTGGTGTGTAAGGAGGTTGACAGACCTAAGGCAGGCTGGGAATTTTAGGCTGATTATAGGCACAATGTAACTTTCTCCTGAGGGGAACAGGAAGCATGGAAAAGAAATTATTCCAGAAAAGTATCTCCCCCACCTTCAGCCTCTGGGATTGGAGAAATCGCCTGATGTTGCCAATGTCAGAAGATCAGAACTCCTTCGAGTTGTGGTGGGAATGGGAGTGAGGAGGGACCCTCTGGGCCATTCCCATCTCGGGGTAATGGATGAGAGAATAATTGATGCCGGGGAATCTTAAGCTCGCCTCTGAGCCGCCTTCTACAAACAGGCAGGTCTCCCCCAGACCAGTTTGAGGAAACTGGGGGGGTTGGAACTCCAGTTTGATGTCCTCAGATTTAAAATGGAGAATTTTACCAGCCGTCCCCAAGAGAACCAGACCCCGGAGCCTGCTAGGCTCAGGGCTTCCAGAAAGTCAGAAGTGTTTTGACTCTGTATTTTGGGACCCATTCACCCTTAGGCAGGGGCCAATAACAAGCAAAAAAAAAAAAAAAAAGTATTAATTGCAGTTAATTCTACTGTAAGGAAGGACTGCAGACTGAGAAGAAAAACAAGAGAGAAATAATTAAAAATGTCTTACTTAGCGATGCTTAATTCTCTGAAACACAACAGCTCTGAGACTGACCGATAAACACCAATACATTGAGACCGGTTTGAAGAAGAAAAAAAATAAATCCAGCCCAGCCTTTTATTGCAGATGTAAATTTATTTTAATGAGATAAACGGCAAGCAGTTCCTTTGGGGTGGGGGGAAAGTTGGAAAGACACTTGTCTTAACTCTGGGAAGCCAAAGGCCAGCACGGGGGACCCACGCGGGACTGGGGTTGCCTTACAGAGACACAGCCTGACCGTTAGGATCCTCGGGAGACTCAGTGGCCACGGGCCGCGCAGACCCCAGCCAAACGCTGAGTTGCACTCCCAGCTCGCCCTGTCCGCCAGGATGCACGGAATCCCTCCTATCCCTCCATCTCCCCGCTGTGTGCTTTTTCCTCTCCAGCTCCCTGAATGCAAGACGGGGGCGCTGCCATTGTGTGCCTCTCCACTCCCAAGTCAATGCAATTTCTAAACCGCTGGCTTGTGGTACTTTGAATATCACCAGGGGCTGTCAGAGTGAGGTCCCCTGAAAAATTTACAGTGCTAAATCAGAGCATATGCCGGGAGGGGAAGGAAGAAGAAGAAGAAGAAGAAAAAAAAAATCCGCTGGAGAGAGATCGGAGCAAGTGCAGTATCCGTCTGCCCCCTAGTGTAAGAGTCCTCGCTGCCTGCGGAAACCCAACTTTGAGAGAAAAGGGGGTCTTAAAGGGAAAACGGCTGGAGGCTCGCGTCCTGAGATGAAACTTCGGGGCGTTTGAATGGGGAGCGCTCGCGCCCCGGGATTTCAAATGAATGGGTTCCGGCTGGCTGGGCCCGGACCCTCCTGTCGCCACCTCTTGCGCCTCCGTGTCACTGGTGGCGAGGTGATGATTTTTTTTTTAATTTTTCCCTCTCCCTCCCACCTCTGATCTGGGTTTCTGTGCGTCCCGCTCACCCCCTCCTCTCTCTTTTTTTTCTTTCTCTGTCTCTGTCGTGGATCTCTCTCTCTCGCTGGCTTTTTTTTTTTTTTAAATGAGGACCTGTGCCTGGGACATGCTGGACACGGCCCAGGATGGCTTCCTTAAGCCAGCAGCCCGCCACGGTGGCAACAGACAGCCAAAAGGTACGCGATCTGCCTGCAGCCCCGCGGCGCTAGCCCGCCGGACGGTGAGTACCCCGCTTGGTCGCGATCGTCCCCCTGGCCCGGCCCGGCCCGGCGCTGGCTCCCCAGAGCCCGGCCCGGGCTCTCCTGCCTGCCTCCCTCCCTCCTGTCACTTGCACAAGGTTGCAAAGACTCGGCTCGGCGGCCGATCGCCCGGGAAATCCGCGAGCCTAGCGGCTCCTCCGCCCGCAGACCGGGGCAGCGGCTCCCAGGCCGGCTGGCTCTCCGGGAGGCGATGGGCTGGAGCTGGCAGGCAGGCAGGAGGGGCGAGGGGCGGCCCCTCGGTCTGTCCCCCTCCGGTTTGACCACATTCTGGCACCTCCGTGATCGTATTTTACCCCCCTCGCCCCCCCTCCACCACACACATGTAATAAAATATGGCAATGCAATGAATCGACTGTTCCCCCCCCCCCTTTCTCCCAAACCCCATAGACCGCAACCCGAGGCATTTCATACACATCAGCAAGACGGCTATTATTATTATTATTAATTATTATTGGGAAAAAAATTCCCAGAGTCATCCCCAACCCCACGCGGCGCGAGGAGGAAAGTGAGAAAGCGGAGAGAGACAGAGAGAGGGGAGGAAAAAAAAATGCTGGAAGCCAACATACCAAAACCATATTTGCCTTGTTCAAGATCCCAAATGGCTTGCATCTTCCTCTTACCAACTGCAGGGACTGTCTCTCCTTTGAGTTTGGCGGGCGGAACGCGCGCTTTGTTGGACCCCTGAAATGATGTGTCTTGGGATAATTAAAAAAAAAGAGAGAGAGAGAGAGACTCTCTTCCTCGGTGTTTATCTAAGCGATTGTGCAAACTGATAAAAAAAAAAAAAAGGAGAAAAAGTGGGCGATCGCTGATCGCTGGCTTGCTCGCTGGCTCGCCCGCGGGGAAGTGGAGGGAGGACAGGCGGTGGCGGTGGCGGCCGGAGCGCTGGTCTACCCCGGGGGCAAGCGGCTCAGCCCTCGGAGCGCCCTGCGCCGCTAACTTTAGAGGCAGCAGCCTTCCTGGAGCTGGTGCATAGCTGCTGAGGAATGCGAGCCTCGCCTTTAAGAAAAAAAAAAGAGAGAGAGAGAGAGGGAAAAAAAAAAAAACACGCGCACACACACCAGCCCCAAACCCTAGGTAGGTGTCTGGAGTGATCCTTGTCTCTCATCTCATTCCTTAGAAGGAAGAGTGCGCGTTACACCTTGTTTGGGGCTGGAAAGACGAGACTTTCAAAACCCCCGTCCAATTGGGAGAAGAAGAAGAAAAAAAATCCCCCAACTTAATGAGAGAGGAGTCGGAGGCGGCTGAGAAGCGCCAGCGGCTCCAGGGAGGCAGGGCGAGCGGCGCAGCAGCCAGGACCCCGTTTTGGGGTTCAGAGGGGAGACGATGGAGGTGGGAGGGGGGGGGGAGGCAAGCTGCCACCTGAGTCAGAGAAGGGGCTTGAAATAGGAAGGCGATATTTTTTTCGGAGGAATCTGGAGGGACCCCTCGTTTTTTGCTACTTCTCACTCCCCAGTGATTTTCCCCTCTCCCCTGCAGCTCCTTGCCCCCCCCCCCCATTCCCAGTCCCCATTCTAGAACTTTCTCAAAGAGGAGACCTGTTCCTTGGGGGGGAGGGGTTCCCCATGTCTTGTCATGGGGGTAATGAATGCTGGATTCACCCCCTTCAGGCCCCCCCCCCTCCCCAGAAGGAATAAAGCAAGCAGGCACACAGACAGTACCGTATTGGCGCGGCGTGCGCGTTTAATACAGTTTGAACTGATGGATTTTGGTGTTTTGTTTTAAGAGAGGAATAATGGGGGACGCGGGTCTTTTATTTTTAGGGAACGGTCCTCGAAGACGTATGTCAGGCTTGACAAATGGGGCGCGGGCTTCTCGGCTGGTTCTTGTCCTCCGTCTTAAAGAGGAATTAAGTTAAACACAGTGCCGCGTGTTAATTACATGTTTACTGCCTAATGAAAATTACAAATGGGTTTGCCACCTCCAAAAAAAAAAAAAAAACAACAATGGTGAGAACCCCCCAAGACTCTGTAATTATATGCTTTGAGGGAAAGAACTCTGAATATTGATCATAAGAAGTGTAAATCTGTTTTTAACTAGTCATTAATACCATAAATACGGGCTGCGCACGTTTTTGCCTTGTGGTTTCAGCTCATCCGTTGCACCGGGTGGATGGGTGGATGGATGGATGGGTGGATGGGTGGATGGGTGGATGGATGGATGGATGGGGAGGTCTCTGGGGAGCTGGTGAACTGATTCTCTCCCAAAAAGAGGCCACTTGTGTCATGGGGGCCCCCCCTCCTCTCGCCCCTGCCCCCTTTAACCCCAGCACGAGGTCGAGGGAGGGCTGAACAGGGGGGCTGGGCTGGGGCAGGTGAAGGTGATCCCACAGCCCATCCCCTCTCCTCCCCTCCCCTCTGCCTCTCCCTCCTCCCCTCTCCACCATGTCTGATGGATGGCCGGCTGCTCCGGCCCAGGCGTCTGGCGGACCCACTGGCCTTGCATCCAGGCCCGTAATGGAGGACAACTGGCCACAGCGGCCCTGACAGCTCGCTCCTCCGCGGTCCTTGCAAACAGAATAAAGTTGAGGGCGGAGGAGGCTTACCGGACCTGGGCGGGCCAGCAGACCTGGTCTCCCGGGTTTGGCGGCTGAGGAATATTTGGGGGGGGGGGGGTCTGTTTGGTTTGCACTTAGGCCTGAGGGATAGCCACTGGGGGTCAAAGGTGAGGGCTGCACTAACCCTAAAGGCGGGTCTGGCCAGAAGGCCCAGGCAGGAGGAGGAGGAGGAGAAGGAGGAGGGGGGTGGTGATCCCCGCACCCTGGTGCACGATCCAAAGGGGGTGCCCCCCAAATCCCCGTGCTGGGGGCACCCCACAGCTGTGAGCGCAATACCCCGGATTTCTTACAAGCGCCCTGGGCTTGTGGGGCTGGAGTCCCCCTTCCCCCTGAGAATTCCCAAGCGCGGGGCTTTGTGTGGGAAGGAATGGGGCTTCTGAATGGTGTGAAAGGGACAGAGAGGGTCGCTTCGAATCGATTCTCCTTGTCCTTTTCTGTCTTTGCGGATCAGCGCGCTTCAATGGGCGCCGAGGCGCTCTTTCAACCAAAAACTTGTGCTACATTTTCTGCCTGTGTTGGCGCTAACGACAGCGCGCCCCGGCCGGAGGCCTTTCTCGCAGAAAGCGCCCTAATTAAATTGTTTTATACGGGCAGTCGGGGACGGGCCAATTAAGTATGCATTAGGATAAAGATAGAGTCTGCACATAAGGCGGCTTAGGAGATCACACGGGAGACAAAGGCGAGGGCGGCGGGCCCGGCGGGGTCGCCCACCTTGTCTCCGGGCCCGGGTGGCACAGGCCCGGCCTCAGGTGCGGAGGGAGCGGGCTGGCTAACAGGTGGCGGAGGCTGGAGCCCCAGGCCTGCGCCTCTGGCCCAGGCGGCGCTGGGGAAGCTCGGTGGTTAGTATCGGACTCTGGATCCGGCCCCGGGGTGGCTGATCCCGCGGGGGGTGGCGAGTGGCGCTCACCCCATTTCGGGTCGCGCCCTCTGCGCGGTGCCAGGCGTGGGGTCAGGACAGAGTGGGCGCCTGGGGGCGGCAGGGAGGGCCCGAGGGGCACCCCTGGAAGCCAAGATCGGGGCAGCAGGTCCCCCTCCGGCCCCCCCTGACTCAGGGCCGCCTTTTCGCTTCTAAGGAAACGGAAAGTGACGTTTCCATCCGATGCCACCGGCCCCAGGGCATCAAGGCCCAGCTGGGGGGAATGGGGGGATGGCCGAGGGCAGGAACGGGGGTCCGGGAGAGGGGTGTCTGCAGACGATCAGAAGGCGACGACCCCCGCCCCCCGCGATCAGGGGCCTGGGCCTCCCCAGTGGAGCGCAGGGCTGGGGATAGGGGGTCCGGGGCTGCACCGAGGACGCACGGGGCGCGCTGGGCGGGGGGCGCAGGGGCGAGACTCGGCGCGGGGGGAGGCGGCTGCGTGTCAGAAGTAAAAAAAGGTGGAAAAGCCAATTTTCCAGGCGCGTCTCCGCCCCCCACCCCCACCCCCCTTGGCCGGCCGCGGAGGCCGTAAATCAGCGGCGGCGGCGGCGGCGGCGCGGGCGGGAGCGGCCCTCCCGGTGGGCCCCGCATCGATCCGGAGCCGCGGAGGATGTCGCCGCACTAAATATTTACTGATCACACACCAGCAGCCGCGGCCCCAACGATTTTCCCGTGCGCGGGGCGCGGCGCGGAGGCCGGATCGTTGTATGAGCGCGGAGGAGCCCGGGCGCACTGAGCGGAGTTAGGGGGATCGATGCGGGGTGATCAGGAGCCCCCGGGGGCGCGGAGCGGCGCGGGCTTTCGGGGATTTGGCAAGGAGGGGGCGGGGGAGCGGGCCCCGGAGGGGGCGGCCCGACCACCGCTGGAGAGTCCCTGGAAAGCCCCCGGAGAGCCCGGGCCGGCCTGGGTCCTCCCCTCCTCGACGGGGCGCAGGCGGCGGCGGGGTGAGGGTCAGGGTTGGCACGGGGGGTGGGGGGGGGCGGGATGGGAAGGCACCGGCTCCCGCCTGGGTGGCAGCGGCCAGGCGGCCAGGGAGCGGGGACCCGGGCAGGTCCCGCCGCCCGCAGCCCCTGGGCAGAGCGGTGGCCGGACGCGGGTGTTGCCCGCACACCGCCCTCGCCCAGGCCCGCGCCTCCTGGCGCTGGCTTCCCCCTGGCACCCCTGGCCCCTGGCTCCTGGGATGAGTGGCCGCTGCTCCCGCCGCCCACCTGGGGTCCAGAGCGGCCGCGGGTGGCGGGACCAGTTGGGGGGCCCGTGGATCCCGTGGATTCGGGGCTCCTGGGCAGGCGGAGGAAAGGCTGAGGGGGAAGGCAGGGCCGGGGTGACACATGGACAACGCCCCGGGGCTGGGAATCCAGCCTTGGGGGTACCCAGCCACCCCCAGCGATGGCCTAGCGCTGGGGCCCCAAGCCAGAGGGCTTTCGGGGGAGTTTGCCCCCCAAACTCAAGCAGCACCTGGCTTTGCAGTTCTGGAAGCCAGACCAACATCAAGGCAGCCGCACAGAATCAAGAGGGCACCGATTTTGGGGGGGAAAGGAGGGGTGCAACGTGAGGAAAGGGGAGCGTCTTCTTTCTTTCCCCTCCCTGGACTTTTCCCCCAAAACCTGCTTTTCCCGGAGAAACCGATCGCGTGACTATCAGTCAATCAGTCAATCAATCATCTCGCTCCCCAGTTGGCGGCTGGGAGGGTGAGAGCAGACTCCTGGGAGCACCAGGAACTGTGGCCAGAGAGCCAGGGCCCTTAAAAACCCTCTGAGTCCCCACGGATGGGATCGGAGCAGCGCGCTCCCGGGTGAGGCGCCTGGGACCTGGGTCCTCGCTCAGTCACCCAGCTCCTGGCTTCGGGGCTCCAGCCTGGAGCTGCCCGACCCCCCTGACCCCAGGCTGCAGGGCCGGTCTCCATTAACCCTTCTCCGTCTGGACCGGGGAAGGTTAACTGCACTAATGGACCAAACGGGCTGCAGCAAAAAGAAAAAGGAAAAGCAAAAAGGGCAGGCAGGCAGGCAGGCAGGCAGGGAGAGAGATGCCCTTTAGTGGAAGGTGGTCAGAACTCTCTCCTCTCCTCTCCTCTCCTCTCCCCTCCTCTCCTCTCCCCTGCAGCCCCCCCTCCCCGCCCCCCACCTTCCTGGGAAGCAGAAAGACCAAGGTCTGGGCCATGAAGGCGGCCCCTTTCTGCACATGGACTTGGGGAGACAGAAACACGGTGCAGTGAGCATTTCCCCCGTGGACCCGACCACCTGCCCTTTAGCTGATGCACACAATAGGTTATTGTGGGTGGGGGGTACCCCAAGGCCCCACACCCAATATACAGTTCACCCTCCTTCACGTAGGCTCTGTCAGTCGCCCCATGACGGCCATACACGTTGGAGGAAAGCAGGCAAGTGCATCAGCCAGGCCATGGGCTATGGCGTGAAGGTGCCTGGGAGTGAGAGGGCCGCGCTGGGTTCAAGGGTCAGCGGCTCAGGCTGCAGCGAGAGGCGGCCACGCGTGTCCGGGAGCGAAAAGGGGTTTTGCAGGAGCTTCGGGGGGGACAGCCTGGAGCCACGCAGGGTTGGCCAAGCCACGGTGCCGGGCACGGCCTCAGAGAGCCAGGGGAAGGGCCAGACTGGGGCGTTTAGGCACACGGTGGGCATCTTTTGCCTGGCGTGTTTATTTTTAAATCTTGCCATGGGCTGCTCTGTTTATTTGGCTTTTAGGTGACTGGAAGGATATGGCTA